ATATACGAATTGAGGAGAGGTAAAAACGTTGAGTCCTACACCGAGTCTCGAGGAGGTTAGAACCAGGAATAATGTTTTCTTGGGCCCCCCCCCCAAGAAAACATTATTCCTGGTATAATGGGATTTCCCATGCGCCTGTTGACGCCTGTGATGAAGGCAGGTGGCGAGAGCGAGCGAGTGACTCGTGCATTCGGCACGCAGAAAAATTCGGAAAACGCTCTTTGCATCTGCTCGATGTCGTTCGCTCGGGCAGATGTTAAGGAATGATGTTAAGGAATGATGTTAAGGAATGATGCCGTCCAGATCCGAGGTCGTCCTTCGAGTCGCCAAAGGACTTCGGGATTTCGAGTCCGTCCTTGGTTCCCTCGGGGATCGCGTGGAAATCGAAGACCGAAGCTTGGTTTCTCCGTCGACGAGAACCTTTTCGAGTGGAATTCTCTCTCGTTTTCGACGATTGGCCCGATTTTTTGGATATTTCTAGAGACAGAGGTGTTTCGAATATTCATTTCAAAGTCGAAAGTCGCGCAAGATCTTCAGGAGTTGAGAAAAATCGGAAGCGATGTTCGATGGAAAAGTGCATTATTGCAGCAGACAAAAACTGGACGCCGGCGTCAAACGAGAGACTGTCGATCGCGTTTCCCGCATTTCCCCGATCCGACAAAATCGCAAGGGCGAGGAGATTATCTCTAAGCCATGTCACTAATCCGTGGGATCACGGAAAGAGGTTCACATCGGCTAACGAGGCCCAACTGATAATCGTGTCAGGTGTGATCTTCGCCGAACCCCGTGATCTCTGAACGAGCAGGCGCGAACGCCGTTGCCGGAATTAGTCGCGAATATTTTGTTGTTGACTTCAAGTGCAAAACCCGAAGAAGTACCAAGTACAAAACCTCAACGCACCATAGAAAAGGAAGCTCAAGTGTTGCTACAACAAATTGCTATGTACGTGCCCACACCTATCCGTGCAAGAGAAGAATGCGTTGGACTTTCTAGCAAAATGAAAATTTTAAGAATCCCTACGCGTGCGTCTAAATACGACATACGAAGCTAAAGTACCGCCCGCCTTCCTTTTTTTGTGAAGAATTTGCTTCGTGTCACTCCCCCATCGTGAACACCGAGGGGCAGTGCTCTGCTCGAACAACATTCCCTACTCTTGCGAATAGCACTCTCCTCAATCCTAATATAATCCTAAACTCACGATTGCCTTGATTGCCTGGGTGGTCCTGGGACGAAGCTAGTAAATTGGCTACACCGAATTCAGCAAAACTTGGGACGCTTCGTTCGCCTTGGCGGCAGGTTTGTTGAGCCACAAAAGACGCAGCTTTTTAAATATGCTCGCAGTGAAAGGTGAAAGGGCTTCAAATGACACTGAAAAGGTGAAAGGCAAGGCAAAGGATGGGCAAACGACGAATTGGGAGCGAGACCACACGCGACATGCCACGGAGTAAGCTACACGTAAGAATACACGACTGCGTGTAGATGACACCTGACACCATTCCCCCCCCCCCCACTCGCTCGCGCTTTCCCGACGGGAAGGAGGTTGGAACGGTGGAGGAGGATTTCGACGATACCCCACCCCCCCCCCCCCCCCCCCCCCCCCCCGAGGAGGAGCTTCAAATATTCATCTTGGAGTGCGAAAGTTGTATCTGAATTTTTTTCTAAAAATGTTAAACTTCTTGTTCCCATTCCATGTCAGCCAGCATGCATTTCACCTTATTCCGCGCGATTCGTGTGAAGTGAGCCGCAAACAAGAGCGATGAAAATAGATCTAATATGCCCAAATCCTCTAATACGATGTTATATCAATCGACCAATCACACGAATGCTTACATCTTGACCAGCCAATGAAAGAATGCGTTCTAAATCGGTCCCAGCGAGATGGCCGGTGGCCAGTGGAGGCAAAGAATTGGACATTCAGTCGCGCCTCTCCATGCCATCCCTAACGCACCTGCAAGCCTGGACGCCACGACGATAGACGAGTGTGCGACGAAGCCCATTCGGAATATGAGCAATTGAATTGCAGAGAAGCAGGTAATTACTCTGAAAATGAGTTTTCTGTACGAAAAGCCGCAACTTGCTGCGAAAGGTAGGCCTCTGCCTGGGACACAGCCGTTCCTGCTTAGGCGTAATCCTGGCTCAATCCATTCATAGATTAGCCTAAACGTTATCGCAGGGGTTTGGATGGACTCTTGAATGCTGAGAAGTCTCAGGTATTTGTGTGTTCATTGCGTGGTGGTTAACTGCATCGTTTCACTGTTCCTTTGCATCGAGTGAACATAATCTGTTCAAGAAAAGGGCGAAGACAACTTTTAGAGAGTCGCCAGGAAGTGTTAGTGCAAGAGACGTAATGCGAGAAGTTCATTGCGAAGGCGGTCTGTAAGTGCAGCAGGTTTCCATTATTTTCCTTAAAGGGGAGATCCCCCCAGACGACCTGAAATTTCCAACAGGAAACATTGAAAATGGATTCTGTGGACTAACGGGAAAGGCAGAAAATGGATTCTGTGGATTAGCAGACGGCCGATCGAGGGAGGAACGCGGGGATTCCCCGCTCGAGTGGAGGCCGGTGGAGGCCCTCCGATTCCAAGAGTCGGGAGTCGAGCGATAGAGCATCGCTCTCGGATCGTCGAAATCCTCCTCCACCGTTCCAACCTCCTTCCCGTCGGGAAAGCGCGAGCGAGTGGGGGGGGGGGGGATCTCCCCTTCCTGTATGAAAATTCGGAAAAGGCGAAGTGCTTTCGTTTCGCATCTCCGATACGGACTTCCGAGAAATTATTTCCGGCTGTGCCATTCGCTCTTCGCGTGAATAATAATGTAGTGCTATAAAAAAAAATGTATTGTAATGCTCATCGACCAAGAGGAGTGCGTCCTCAGTGTCATTGTCGTCCCCAAGTTTTTTGAGTCGTTATGGACCAGGGCCACTTCGACCCCTGGATTTCCCCTGAAGCCATTTTCATGAATTTCCAGCTCGGATTTAATACCTGGAAAAATCATGCCGAGCTGTTCCTCGTCCATCTGGGGACCAAAATTGAACATTTTCAAAGAGACGGTCGATCGCAGGGCGAAGATCATGTCAAAAAATTTCTTCCTTGTTTGATCTGAAAATATTGTCGCCTTTGTCGGTCTTCATCTTGTGGGTTTCACGCTAAGTCGAGTTTCCTCGGTTTCTTCCGTCGTCGGCATCGCCCAATTCGCCCAATAGTGGCAAGCCTCTCGGTTCGTATCCATTCCAGTGATGTGTGAGATGCGTTTTTCGGCTGCCCTTCCATGCAACTGAAGTGCTATTTGCATCATTTGAGCCGCCATTTTTACCTACTTTTGGCAATGGCAATGGTAGTCCCTCTTGAATTGAATCTCAGATCCGTCGTTTTCCTGTTTTAACCCCTTTCCTACGGATGACGTATATATACGCGATTTATTATCTCGATTTTCAAAGTTGTAGAGCTATGATGAAAATCATAGCACTACCTGTTTTTCGTTCTTCATACCTGTTTCTCAATACCTTCCTACGGATGACGTATATTTACGTCGTGGGACTTAGCGCCTGGCTGAGGCTGGAATAATACCGTTGGGGCTGGCTCAGTCGATCCCGTGGCCAAGGGGTTAAGCTATTTAGAGTCGGTGAGCCACTTGCACGAGGAATAATCCGATCCATCCGTGTTACGTTGACCGTCGTTAAATAACGAGTAACGGTTTGGAGGGATTCCGCTTTCCCATAGATGTCCATTGCTATTTATATTTATTGCTATTGATATCTCTCGGAAGTGCACCGCACACGTGGTCAGAGCACTCGAAAGATGAAACAAAAAATCGCAGAATTTCGTATCGATCGCTCTTGTGTGCAGATGAAGCGAAATAAGTATCCCTCGAGCACGAGAAAAAACGAAGAAAAAGTGTCCTCATCTGGCCTTCCTCGTGGTTCGTCGCATCCTTGACGATGTCTCATCTTATTTGGGTTTGAGTTTTGCCAATAACAATGGACAAAAGTGCGAAGATTCTTCGTGGAGGTGAATCGAACGGGCTCTGCCGGCAACGGAGTCTTGGTAGCTTTTGGATTCGTCACAAACCGGCTCCTGCAGGGCTGGAAAGTCCTGAGGAAAGTCCTGAACCGTATCTTCTCGAATGACCCCGCCGATACCCAGCCCCAATCAGCGTTCGAACCGTATCCATGCCATCTCGAAGAGCCTCCAGCGATCGAGGGAGGACAGTCTCCCATCCCGTCTCGATCCCGCGAGGGACCTGGAGAAGGCAAGTGCCGTTCCAGCCTCGTCGCCGTTCAACCGATTCTTTCCTTTTTTGCTCCGCTTGTTGGGGTTCCTTGGATCCATTCGGTCGATGTCGAGGGGGGTTCATTGTCGGGGTGGTTCGTATGCGGAGTTGGATTCCAACGTTTCGGTGCTATTAGGGGTTTGAATTTAAATGTAAACCCAAATTTAAACCAAAAACACACTACTTAATATGAAAATTCATGGGAAAAGTCCTTTTAGGAGCTTTCGGTCGACACCTTACCTTTGATTTTGCAGTAATCAGGGAGTTGAACTTTTTTTTTACTCATCTTGTCGACCATTTTGCCAAGACATTGACCGACGATATTTCGGTGACGATTCGACGCCGGGAGCGAAAATTTTGGATTTGCACCATTCTCCACGATATGAAAGAGCCGAGTGAAATCTGAGAAGAGAGTAAGAAATTTCCTGTATCCGGACGTTTTGACGCGGAACGACCACTCCGATAAAAGCGTCGACCCGAAGGCATCGACAGTATCGACTCGCGAGAAGCCGCCGTTGACGAATATGTTCCCCCTCGAGATACCCCGTCGTTGACGCACCGCGATGCACCGCGATGCACCGCGATGCACCCCTGCCCGAGTCGTTCGAGCAGCTTCTACCGTCGACATGCATGCAGGTTGTAAATCCCTTGCGAGACCACTCGAGTTCAAGTGTCACTCGAAGAGCGTGGATCACTGCATTCGAGCGACGAAAAAATCACTCCGAGCGTTATCTCCCCAGATACAGGCAGGCACCAACAACATTTTCTCGCCTGCCCGCACATCAGAAAACGCGAACCGTCTCGTGGCGCTCGACGGAATCGGAATCCTCCAGATTACTCCCGTGCTCCGGTCGTCTTATCGACCCTGCGAGCGCCGCGACGTGCAGCTCCCTCTCACCGGACTCGCTAGCCCCGACCTCCATCCATGTCAGAGGCGCGCCGGAGAGCATGAAGAAGTCCGCGACGGGTCTGGAACTCGTGATCGTCCCCGAGCTCGTCGACGAGAATCGGACGGATCACATCGACGATGCCATCTCCGCCCTCTACAACGAACGCAACTGGTCCCTTCTTCAACTGCGGGTAAAGTTGCGACCGTGCGACCGCTTTCGTGCTCGTCGTTCCGCTTTCGTGCTCGTCGATTCCGCTTTCGTGCTCGTCGGTTCCGCTTTCGTGCTCGTCGGTTCCGCGTTCATCGCGTCGCTTCCTTGCAGAAAATCTGCCGGACGAAAAGCGGGCTCGAGACCCTCTACCAAAAATACCAGATCCGGCTCAGGCATTCCTACTTCATCGTGTACCTCTTCATTCAAGCCCTGCTCAGCGCCCTCACGATCACGGTGGAATGCGCCGCCCATTCCGTACGTGAGAACCGGAACCCTCCGACCCTCTCGGGAACCCTCGACCGAAATTCCTCTCGCATTTCAGATGGAGGACGTCATGGACATCGTCCTCACCCACGGGATCGTCCTCACCGTCTGCTTCGCCCTCCTCATCGTCATCTACGACGAGAAGTTCTTCCTTCAGTCCCCGCCGTCCGGACCCAATCTCTACGAAGACCGGCTGCGATCGACTTGGGTCCCGAAAGCCAGCACCGTCGTCGTTTTCGTTCCCCTGCTCGCCATGCAGATCATAACGGCCATTAAATATGCGTGAGTCGTTGAACGAGTGCAAATTTTTTAAATGTTCTCTGAGAGTTTGTCTGCGAGGGCGTGGCTCATTTGAGAAGAATCTCCCCCCCCCCCCCCCAAATGTTTATGATTTCCTTTCAGGGAGTGTATGGTTCTCGCGAAATGCGTCTGTCCTTTAGAAAGGTCGGCAGCCGACTCGTCGTGGCATTCGTGATTCGCATCCCGATCGGCGAGTGTGCGTCTCTTCAACTCGGAATCGAATCGCAGAAATGAGATCCAAGTCCATCGGTTATGGTGGATCGAGTGCCAAAAATTTGGCACGAAACAGCGTCCGCTTGTTGCAATGTGTCGCGATCGAATCCCACTTTCTGGCACGCCCCTCTATCTCACTTGGTCCACCGGACTTGGAGCCCCACCTGTCTCACTTGGTCCAACCGGACTTTGGAGCCCTGAGGCTTTTCCCTCTTCCTGCAGTTCTTTTCGATGTCGAAGCGACTCGACTCTCTCGATCGGGATGCGATCGCGAGCGCCACGGCGAGTGAGCAGAGGGATCCTCGCAATGGCTGGTCTGCAGATGCACGAGTGGAAAATTGCAGGAAAAAGTGCATGAGCTCACGGGGGGGGGGGGGGGGGAAGGAGACGGG